AAACTAAAACCTTGCTGTGTATTCTCACTAGAGCATCTTATTAGTACTCAAATTTTATATATATATATTTTTGTTTGAGGTGGACATAACATCTTTATTTATTTTTATGTGGTGCTGAGGATCGAACCTAGTGCCTCGCACATACCAGGCCAGCGCGCTACCACTTGAGCCACATCCCCAGCCCCAGTACTCAACTTTTTTTAACCTCACAGGCGTCAAATGCCCAGCTCATCCAGAGCCCGTCAGTCTTAGCCAACCTGAACACTTGGGCCTCTGAAACTGTCTGGAGCTAGTTCCCTGGCAGGAAAAGAAGGGATACAATGGGTGGGAAATGAGACATGTGTTTTCCCTTATCCTCAGTAGGCATGAAGCCACAGCAGATGTACACTAATCTGGGGTTCTCTTTTCTAAACAGGAGAAGAAGAGGGAGTGGGCAGCCCAGATCAGGTTGGGTCAGGGCTCAGTAGCAGGGGTAAGAGAAAAGAGAAGGTAAAGGAGAGGAGGGATCCGTAGGAGACTTAATAGTGTTGGGTATGTCTGTCTAAAGTCACCCCCACCCTCTCAGGATTTTTTTTTTTTTTTTTTTTTGGTGGCATTGAACACAGGGGCACTCTGAGCTATATCCCCAACCCTTTTGGGGGTTTTTTGGTACTGGGGATTGAACTCAGGGGTATGCAACCACTGAGCCACATCCCCAGCTCTTTTTTATATTTTGAGACAGGGTCCTGCTGAGGGCCCTGTTAAGTTGCTGAAGCTGGCTTTGAAACTTGAAATCCTCCTGCCTCAATCTCCCAAATTGCTGGGATTACAGGAGTGCACTGCCACACCTGGCCATTTAATTTTTAATTTTGAGACAGGGTCTTCTAAGTTGCCCAGGCTGGCCTCAAATTTGTGATCCTTGTGTTTCAGCCTCCCAAGTGGCTAGGCTTATAGGTTTATATTACCACACCTGGCTCCCTCTCAGGATTCTTGAGACAGGACAGAAAATCCCTCAAATCTACCTTCCCTTTCTTCTTCCTACAGATCCTGATGGAATCAAACTTCTCATCGTGAGCCAGCTGTTGGTGAGCATTTTGCTAACTCATACAGACTGGGTATGTTTCAGCACTGTGGGCTGTAGGGCTCCCTCCCTCTTAAGCCTCTTTGTTAGGCTGGGAACCAATGATCTGTGGTCCCTAGTGAGTTCTTCCAAATTTCACACTGTGTTCCAAGTATTGGAGTCTCCACTTCAGAGTCAAGAAATGCACAGATCCTAATGGTAATTGCCAGTAGAGATATCAGGAAGAATGACTCAGTAAGACATAAAGTGGCACTCTCTTTTTCTTTTAATATTTATTTTTTTAGTTGTAGTTGGACACAATATCTTTATTTTGTTTACTTATGTGGTGCTGAGAATGGAACTCAGGGCCTTGCACGTGCTAGGTGAGCACGCTACCACTGAGCCACAACCCCAGCCCTAAAGTAGCACTCTCTTAGGAAGGATTTCAGTAATATGAATCCAGAACCTGGGATATGTGAGCTATTTCACTTGAGTTAAAAATCAGAGACTCAGACAAAGATTAGGGTACAAAAATGTTAATCACAGCACTATTTTCCATTACAAAAGCTTGGTGTATTAGTTTTTCATTGCTGTGACAAAATACCTGAAAAATCAACTTAAAGGAAAGATCTATTTTGGCTTATGGTTTCAGTCAATGGTTGGCTGGCTCCACTGTTCCTGGGCCTGTGATGAGGCAGTTCACCATGGCAGAGGGTGTGGCAGAGCAAAGCTGTTCACCTCATGGTAGTCAGGAAGCAGAGAGAAAGAAGAAGGGGGCCTGTGGACAACCACATCCCCAAGAACCCAGTCTCTTCAATTAGGTCCCAACTCCTATGGTTTTCATCATCTCCCAAAAGTCCATTTAAATTATGAAGCCATAAATGGATCAATCCACAGATAAGATCAGAGCCCTCATAATCCAGTCACTTCCCAAAGGCCCACCTCTGAACATCGCTGCATTGGGGATCAGGCCTTCAACACATAATCCTTTGGGGGAATACTTCTTAATTAGCCATAGTACTTGGTAGTGACTTATAGGCTAACCATGGGAGTCTGGATAGGTAAACAAGGTTATAGCCATACCACCAAATGTTATTATGTACACATTAGAAAGGTTTTTATATATTTTTTAATTACATGGAATAGTGTAACTGAAAACAGTGGGATACAACTGGGTTCGGCAATCCCAGGTACTCTGGAAACTGAGGCAGGAGGACCACAAATCCCAGGTCAGCCTGGGCAACTTAGCAAGACCCTATCTCAAAATAAAAAGATCTGGGGATGTAGCTCAGGAGCAGAGCACTCGCCTCAGCTTGCACAAGGCCCTGGATTTTACTCCCAGTACCAAAACAAGCAAGCAAACAAGGCAATTATAAAATATCCCAGTGATATAAATGGTATCACCCTTATGTAGAGAAAAATAAGATTGAAAGAATACGTCTGAATCAGAAATTTACTATTGGCTGGGCTAAGCTACTTGGGAGGCCAAGGCAGAAGGATGGCAAGTTCCGGGCCAGCCTCCGCAACTTAGCCAAATTCTGTCTCAAATAAAAAATAAAAAGGGCTGGGGATATAGTTCAATGGTAGGGTATCTCTGGGTTCAATTCACTTACCCTGCCCCCCAAAAAAAGGAAAAGGAAAAAAATTTATTATTAATTATAAATGCTAATGATTATTTCTGAAATAGGATTGTGGGTGACTTACTTCTTTTTTCATTTTCCAAGTTATTTTATCTGGAAAGAAAAAAAAATAATCATAAGGTTGACTGCTGTGTGTCAGCCACATTGGAACATGGTCCTTTCCTGCCCATTTCATATTGAATGAGCCTCACAGACATCTCTCTCTTTATACTGTGCTTTCCCTATGCCATCACCTCAGTGCATGCACAAGGAAATGAAAATCATTTTGCTTGGAGACTATATTTATTTTCATTAAAAAAATTTTTTTTTAGTTGTCGACCTTTATTTATTCTTATTTATTTACTTATTTATATGGTTCTGAGAATGGAGCCTAGTGCCTCACATGTACTAGGCAAGCACTGTACCAGTGAGCCCCTCTCCCCAACCACCAGGAACTACATTTTTTTTTTTTTTTTTTAGAGAGAGAGAGAGAGAATTTAAATATTTATTGTTTAGTTTTCGGCGGACACAACATCTTTGTTTGTATGTGGTGCTGAGGATTGAACCGAGCGGCACACATGCCAGGCGAGTGCACTACCACTTGAGCCACATCCCCAGCCCAGGAACTACATTTATTGAGGGGGGAAAAAAAAAATTGAGGCCTGAAAATAAGGTTCTGGATTATTTCCATCCATCTCTACTCCATGACTAGAGAGAATAAATGCATAGGGTTCTTGGATATGAGGCCATAAAGTTGTAAATGACACGCTCCAGCCCCCACACCTGACTTGTTTTGGTGGGAGTCGGAGCCTCTGATGGGTAAGCATTAAAACCCATGACCACAGCTATTGATACTGTTTAAAAAACACAGCACCCACCTCACACCCTGATGAAGGACTTGTCCAGCAGCCTGGGCGTCAGGATTCCTGGGCTCCAGGCCCTACAGGTGACTCACAGTCAGCCCCAGGCTGTGCCTCCTGGCCTCAGTTTCCCTGACTTATTCTGTGGGTACTCCCACCTACTGTGCAGGGTGTTAACGGAGGTAAGGTGCTTTGAACTCCTCAGATGAAAGAGGCTAGGGAGGGAGCACCCAGTTATTATCCCCTCTATAGCCCAGCGTGGGAGCTGAGGTCGTCTGCTTTCATACTGTTCCAGCTACAGGAGCCTCCTCATAGCCCCCCACTCTTCTGCTTTCAGCTCCAGGTGCCAAAATTGGGAAGCAAAGATCAGTTGCCTATTTTTTTTTAGGTATCAGGGATTGAACTCAGGGGCTCTCGACCACTGAGCCAGATCCCCAGCCCTGTTTTATATTGAGACAGGGTCTCACTGAGTTGCTTAGCATCTCTCTTTCGCTAAGGCTGGCTTTGAACTTGTGATCCTCCTGCCTCAGCTTCCCGAGCCACTGGGATCATAGGTGTGTGCCACCATGCTGGGCCAGTGCCTGTTTTAATGCTGATTCAGAATAGATTTTCCTAAACTGAATTATCCAACTGTTCAAACCACCAGCGACCTTTCTCCTCAATTTATGATTTAGTAGTCTTAAAACATTTAGAGATGCCTAAATTCTTTCTCATGTTTGGCCACAAATACTGTGGGTTAAGAGCTTATCTAATCCACCCCCTTTGAAGTCTGGGGATTGAACATGGGGCTTCACACATGCTAGGCAAGTGTTCTATCACTGAGATATATTCCAGTTCAAAGGCTGTTAACTATCAATAGCAAAGGAGAGACACACACAATTCAAAAAATTGGGAAACAGCAAGGCTGACTTAAGTTTCAACTCCTCATCTGTTTTCCCCTTCTAAAATGGGTAATGCTTTAGTGACAGTCCCTGCTTTGTCAATCTCCAGGGGTTGTGGTGATAACCACCTGAGGATGTGTGTGGAGGCACTTCATAAACTGTCAAATTCTTCACAGATGTTAAGCAGCTGGAAGGTGTATACAAATGAGACAGCTGGCACAACCCATCCTAAGCCGAGTCCCCTCCAACAGCCAGGTTACAACCACAAAAATAAGTCTGGGGTGCCACCTCCTGGTTGGAAATATGAATGTCATTCCCATCCAGCATTAAGAATGGTCAAGGAAGCACAGAGCAGTATTTCCTGGCTTCAAATCATCTTAATTTTTACACACCCTCATAACAACTTAATTCTTTCTTTTGGAGAGGCGGATAACTGGGGATTAAACCCAGGGGTACTTTAGCACTGAGTTACACACCCAGAACTTTTTTCTTTTTTTTTTTTTAAGACAGTCTTGCTAAATTGCTGAGGCTGACCTAAAACTTGCAATCCTCCTGCCTCAGCTTCCCAAATTGCTGGAATTACAGGTGTGTACCACCACTATGCCTGGCTAATATTTTTATTTAAACAACTCACTTTGCATACATTTTTCATATCTGAAGCAAACAATCTTTCAAACTTTTGACAAGCTAACACTTGCCAAAAATAGAGCAAAATCATGAAATAAATACAACGAAAATAAAATATTAAATAAGGTTTAGCTAGGAAATGTCACCTGTGAAGGTCTGAGTGTGAAGTTCACTGTTAAAACTGAAGAGTGACAAAAGCACATGACTGGAGAGTAGGAGTCAATCCTCTCGTACAGCAGAGTCTGCACTATGGGGAAACACTGACCTGTATGAAGAAACATGACCCTCTGGAGGGTCTCTTGTTCTGCCCCAATTCCCTGGGCCTGAAGGATTGAAGAAAAGTTTAAAGCCACAAAAAGTAGAAAATAAACTCTATTATGTGCATTTCATCAAAACCCAAGGAAAGCCAGTGTTCAGCCTGCTGGTGGTACTTCTGGTGCAGCAGGGCCCAGAGCCCAGGGCATCACTGAGGGCACTGTAGGTGCTCTGCTCTTTGTCATGCCTGGCTTTTTGTCCAGAAGTCCTTTGCCAGCTGGAGGACCTGCTCTTGGGTCTGCAGCCTGTGAGCTGTCTGCTGCTTATAAGGAGCCTCCACTTTCCCCAGTGCTGGGTTGTGCATCAGGGCCCAGCTTGTTGCTATAGCTGCATGGCTTCTTGTTCCACTGACTGGTCCGAGGGTGCCAGGTACTTCTCTTGGAGGCCCAGCGTGCTGGGGAAGGGTGAGTCAAGGCTGACAGTAGGCACAGGACGGAGGACTGGTCTGGGCGGTACTTAACCTCTACTGAGGCCCACCCTCCAACCATATCTAGCAGACTCCTCCCATCCCCCTCTTTCCTCATAAGTGAAGTCTCAGGCCACAGGTAAAAGGGACCAATTAGGTCTGAGAAGTCTCTAAAGCCTCCAGATGTATATGTGTCTATATTTGTTTCTTTCCCACATAGCTGAAGATCAGAGGACCAGAGAGCGCTAACCTTCCAGCTTTGTTAGGGCACATGCTACAGAGCCAGAGAGAAGAGGTTCAAATCCTGATTTTTTTTTAATATGTATTTTTTTAGTTGTAGATAGATACAATGCCTTTATTTTACTTTTATGTGGTGCTGAGGATCGAACCCAGTGCCTTCCACATGCAAGGTGAGTAATCTACCACTGAGCTACAAGCCAGCCTCTCAAATTCTGATTTTTGCCATTCCTTTTTTCTTCTCTGTAAAATATCACTTGAAAGCTGTTGTGAGGATCAAATGAGACTGTGAATATGAAGTTCCTAGTATTGTGGTTGGCATATAGTAGGTCCTCAATAAAATTTGTCATTTCATTGCCAGGAAAAGAACATATGGAGGCTCAAATAAAATGATAAATCTCTTCTTGGCTGTAGAAAGTGACTGCATGTGTGAAGCAGCTCCTTGGTCCTGCTCATTGTACTGCCATAATTAATTTATTAGTTTTCCGAGGCAGGGTCTCACAATGTTGCCAAAGCTGGGCTTGAACTTGCACTCCTTCAGCCTCAGCCTCCTAAGAATCTGGGTTTACTGGTGTGTGGTATCATGCCCATCTTACTGCCATCATTTTATAACTCATTTGTCCTTGGAGTTTTGTTTCCTACATGTAAAACGGCCTGAATAAGTGTTGGCTAGAATTACTTTCCTCTGTACCCAAGGACTCTGGAGCCCCCTTTGTCTCCAGCTTCTTATGTAGATGCTGAATCTCTCAGACCATAGCCTCTGTGACCTGAGAGACACCCCTACTGGTCAATAACCCAGTTCCAAAGATTTGTCTCTTAGACAGCTCTAGATGTCCAATGACCCTCTTAAATAGCACATCTGCCAGCTCTCATCCCTTCAAATGAGAAACCTGCCCCCTCCTTTTGTGTGTATGCGGGGGGATTCTAGGAAGTGAATCCACAGGTGCTAGACCACTGAGCCACATCCCTAGCCCTTATTTTTTTTTATTTTAAGACAGGGTCTCACTAAGTTGCCCAGGCTTGCTTCAAACTTGCAGCCCTCCTGCCTCAGCCTCCCAAGTCGCTGGGATTACACCTGTGCATCTCCCTACCCACCCATCCTCCTCCTCCTCATCCCAGTTAACTAGCACATCCCACTGTCTAAGCCATAAACTCGGGGGTCCAACTCTTAGTACTTACTGAACGCTGGCTCTCTGCCCTGAGCTGAAGGCCGCACTCCAGCAGAACACTCAGGCCCTCCACTGCAAGTCCTGCCCACTTTCCCTCATGCCGGCATCTCTTCCCCCTTCACATGCAACACACCAGGCAAACTGAACCCTTTGCACTTTTCCCTAGTGAGCAAATGCCCTTACATTCTTAGGCCTCTGTAGCTACTACATTTCCAGTCAATATCCTCCTTTGTTCTGAGTACAGCCACCCTGAAGCATTCTAAGGGACCAACCTTTGCACATAAGAAAGATAGTCACCAGAGAGCCAACTGGTCACCACCAGGGTGGTGATGGCACCTCCCATGGCCATTCCTGCACCCCATGCTTTATACTCCAACTGTGGCCAGGAAGCAGGTGAGTCTAGGGAGTAAGGATACGAGGAGAAATGGAAGTCAGCTCCCACTGCGGCAGACATCATGGCCTCCAAGCTTCGCTGCTCTTGTACCCCAAAACAGTAGCCGTTGGCCTTATCCACAGCCTGTAGGACTCGCTGGATGCTGTCCTTGTCCTGAGCATGGAGAATAAATAAATGAGTGAAAGACAGGTATGCAGAATTGAGGCTATACCAAATGGCCTACAATCTCCAAACACATCCTCCTCACTCCTCACTCATAATGCTCTTGTGCATGTAGCTTCCTGGAGTAGTTTTGTGTGTCCCAGAGGCCTAGCTAAATCCCATCTTTCCTGACTACCAACCCATCCGGATCAGAATGGATAAGCTCCTTTATGAACATTCAGTCCACTGGGTTTATTCTAGCTACTTGGGAGGCCGAAGCAGGAAGATCACAAATTTGAGGCCAGCCTCAACAACTTAGCAAGACCTGCTCTCAAAATAAAAATAAAAATGTCTGGGGGTGTGGCACATACATGTAATCCCAGTAATTCTGGAGGCAGGAGAATTGTAAGTTCAAGGCCAGCCTCAAATATTTAGTAGGACCCTCAGAAAATTAGAAAGACTTTGTCTCAAAATAAAAAGGACTGGGGATGTAGCTCAGGCCTGGGTTCAATCCCCAGTAAACACACACACACACACACACACACACACACACACACACGAAAATAAAGAAAGACAAAAAAAACAGAAAAGAAAAAGAAATAAGACAAGTTGGTTCAAGTCTACCAACTGCAAAGGAATCTAACAGCATCTGTGTCTCCTACATATCTTTGCACAAAGCAAGATGAGACGCACAGAGGTGGGATACTGCTTTGCAAAGTCAACAGTTACCCAGATAAATGGGCCTAATCACACTTGTTACTAGTCAAGTCCCTTGTTGATAACTTTCTGCATTCATCCATTTTCACACTGAGGAAAAAATGTGTAGAGAGGATCCAGTGATATACAACAGATAGGGCAAACTAAATCCTGCCCACTACAGGACCTGCTCCAGAATACAAGAGAGCCCAATGAGGGCTGGGGATGTGGCTCAAGTGGTAGCACGCTCGTCTGGCATGCGTGCGGCCCGGGTTCGATCCTCAGCACCACATACCAACAAAGATGTTGTGTCTGCCAATAACTAAATAAATAAATAAATAAATATGTTTAAAAAAAAAAAAAAAGAGAGAGCCCAATGATAGACTCAAGACAGAGACCATTGTTTAAGCTCTGAAAGCTTTATATGGGGCTGGGGATGTGGCTCAAGCGGTAGCGCGCTCCTCTGGCATGCGTGCGGCCCGGGTTCCATCCTCAGCACCACATACAAACAAAGATGTTGTGTCCGCCAAAAGCTAAAAAATAAATATTAAAAAAAAAAAAAATCTCCCTCCTCTTTCTCTCTCTCCCCTCTCTCTCCCTCTTCCCAAAAAAAAAAAAAAAAAGAAAGCTTTATATGCCCTTGGCTAATGAATCCCAGGCATGCCAGAGTGTATTGCCAAGGGGAAGAGATCTCTCAGTACCTGTATGTTCAGAGGGATAAAGGAGACCAGGCTGTAGTCTTCAATGAGCTGCACCAGTTTCTCGTTGAGCTGGCGGTAGTGGCGGAAGAAAGGGTCAGAAGCCAGGTGGTCAAGCAGATAGGAGAGGTCAAGGACCTCTGTGTAGTAGTCCAGGTTGAAGGCTAAGGGGAGAAACCAGGGTTCAGGAGCAGCCAGCATCAGGCTAAAGACCTGAGGACTGAAGGGCTGAGGATGTTGCTTGGTGGTAACATAGACACTTACTAAGCATGAGGCCCTGGCTCCCTACACCCAATGGAGGCAAAAAAAAAAAAAAAAAAAGGCCATAATATATGGGCTTTGGGTGTAGCTAAGTCATAGAGTGCTTGCCTAGCATGTGCAAGGCACTGGACTTGATCCAAGTACTGCCAAAATATTTAAAACCCGCAAAGACTGGGGCAGATGTATTTTCTTTAGTCACTCCATACTTCTTGCTGCCGTGAAATGAAGTTAATAAGAAATACTTGGTTTCACCAGCTATCTCCGTCACTTACTAGCTATATGGACAGGTCTCCATCTCCATTGTAAGCATTAAAAGCTATAAACCGGAGCACCTCGTTTATAGGTGACTAATGGTAGTAAATAACAATTTCAAATAGGTATTGAGAACTGTGTTTAGTCCCTGCCTCATGAAGCTCAGCCTCGTAGCACCTGCAGGGCCTGGAACACACACACTACAAGGACTCTGTAAGTACTGGTCCAGTTGAATTACTGATACATTCCAGGCATGGCCTCTTGGGTAAATCACTTTCCCTTTGTAAGACTGTTCCTCCTTTTTTAAAAATATTTTTATTAGTTGTTCAAGGATCTTTATTTTATTTACTTATTTATATATGTGGTGCTGAGAACTGAACCCAGTGCCTTGAACATGCTAGACAAGTGCTCTACCACTGAGCCACAACCCCAGCCCAGTTCCTTCTTTTTTTTTTTTTAATATTTATTTTTTAGTTTTCGGCGGACACAACATCTTTGTTTGTATGTAGTGCTGAGGATCGAACCTGGGCCACACGCATGCCAGGTGAGCACACTATCGCTTCAGCCACATCCCCAGCCCCCAGTTCCTTCTTAATATAAAACAAGGAGACCCAAATAGATGCTCTGAGGTCCCTGAGTCAGTTCTGTGAATTAATTTCCCACTGAAAGAAGGAAAGTAGGTCTCCCTACACTGTCCATTTCTGCCCAGAAAAGTCAAGCATTTGGGCTCCTTGGCAGGAATGTCCTGAGATGAGGTGGCTCCTCTCAATGTACTGACATCCCTTCATGTCTTGAGAGGTAGTTAACCTCCCTGAATAAGGTCAATGTCACTTCACTTCCCCAACAACCTCCCTCCCTGTGTACTAGTCATTTTAGCTTTTCTTCTGTAAGCTCCTTTATGGCTGGATATGCTATTTAGGGAACCAACACCTCTGGTACAACAGAGCACTAATTCAGCAGGAGAAAAATGTTGGCCACTGGGATCCTAGACAACTCCCCTGCATCTCTGCTATGTGAGGACAGTGTCATAAGGTGGCTGTTCACAAGTCAGGAGGAGGCTCTCACCAAACCTTGGATCTTAAGACTTCTCAGTCTCCAAAACAGAAATAAATGTTTGCTGTTTAAACCATGTGGCTAATGGTATTTTTGCAGCCCAAACCAACACAAAGCCTTTACCCTTACTGGACCCTCTGCCTAGAACAGTCCTCCTTTAATTGGCTCTTCACCATTCAGATGTCACTGCCTAAGAGCAGTAAGACATTCTTCCCTCCCAGCCACTCACTGTCTTATCACCTTGTTTCCTTAACACATTAACATCTGTAGCCCTCTTATCTCGAAAATCTACAATAGCATGTGGCACAAAATAAACGGGCAGAAGTTAGGACCTGCTATGGCTGCTACCACGCAAGGTCCCAGAGGTAGCGTTCTTCAGCTGAGATCTTTTTCACTCCAGCCCAGCTGCTGCCCTATTCTTTGCCAACCCAAAACAGGAACTCTTACCCAGTTTCCCATAATGCTCAATGAGGTCCATCTTGGAGAGGAGGTTGACGTGTGGCAGCTCCACATGCAACATGGTGGCCAGAGAGGTACATAATACTGAGATGAACTTGGCTGGGTCTGTGCAGTAATGAGAATCCACAAGATGGACAGCAGTCAGCTGGGAGGGGAAGAGACAGAGTATGACCTCGGGAGGCAGGGAACATTTTGGCTTGTTGTTTCATCATATTAGAAGCTTGAGGGCAGACTGTAAACCTTCTCCATAGTTTCCTCCTGGTCCTGTTTTGTTCTAATAGCCATCCTCATGCTCTTCTCCCAGAAGATATGGGGTCACTTTTTCTCCTTTTTTGTTTGCAGTACTGGGATTGAAACCAGGGGTGGTTTACCACTGAGCTACATCCACAGCCCTTTTAATTGATTTTGAGACAGGGTCTCACTAAGTTGTTCTTTTTTTTGGTGGAGGTGCTGGGGATTGAACCCAGGGCCTTGTGCATGCGAGGCAAGCACTCTACTAACTGAGTAATATCCCCAGGCCCTAACTTTTTTTTTTTTTTTTTTTTAAGTTTTCAATGGACCTTTACTTATTTTTTTATGCATATGTGGTGCTGAGACTGGAACCCAGTGCTTCACATATGCTCGGCAAGCACTTTACCACTGAGCCACAACTCAGCCATCCCCTCTCCACTAAGTTTTGAGTCTCCTCTTGAACTTGCAATCTTTCTCAGCTTTATGAATGGCTGAAATTACAGAAGTCCTTTTCTCCCCCCCCCCCCCTTTTTTTTTAAATAAAATGCCTGGCACAAAGCTTTAAGTGGACAACAAATTCAAATCCCAACAATACATCTGCCTCCATTCTTCCACTTACTCTTGTCCACCAACTTTATATATAAAACTCCTTCTCTATTTCCCAAAGTGTCAAACTGGGTACCAACATATCGTTTTACAGGTAAGAAAACAGAAGTTCAAAGAGATCCCACCCAGAACACACAGCGAGTCAGTGGCAGAGACAAAATTGGAGCTCATAACTGTTTTTACTTCAAAGCAACTTGGTCCCTAGCTCACTGTGTAACATGAGGGCGTGGACCCTGTCTTCCTTAGTTGCTCCACCTGCAAAATGGACCTGCCCAAACCGAGACGCACCCTGAGATCCCACTGAGCCATCTGCGAGAATATGCTGCGAAGGGCGCCGTGGTGCGTGCACAGCTCCACCTGGCCTGGGCAATCGAAGAGGAAGTAGTGGCCGCGGAGTGGGTCCAGCTTGGCCCGCAGCCAGTCCAGGTTGGCTTCCAGGTACTCCATGCAGTAAAGCAGGCCGCCGTTGGGTCCCAGCCTCAGCGCATCCATCACATCACCCAGTCCCACTAGCTCGCCCACGTCCACAGCGCACTCGTATGGCAGCCCTTCGTTGGCCGGGTCCAAGTTCACCACCGCCACGCGCCGGCCCAGCGCGCGCAGGAACTCACTCATGCCCAGGCAGTACGTGGTCTTTCCTGAGCCCGGCGGGCCGATCACAGCCTGCCCGAAGGCCGTGGCCGGAGCGGCTCCCGCCATGGGGAGAACGTGGTCCGGAACCGAACAGATGAACCCAACGGGAAAACAGGGCGGACACCTGTATAGGAGATGAAACTACGGGCGGCAGACCACCGACGTGGTCTCTGCAGGGAATGACGACCGCAACCCAGGGAACCCGCGCCAGGAAAGGGCAGCAAAGGGGGCCGGTACTGAAGGCACCAGCTCTCGACTTCCGGGCGGCGTCGGAAGCAGCGGGGCCGGGAGAGGAAGTCCCGCCCTAAGGCAGCGGCGCTACCAAGCTGGGCGTGGCCACACAGAAGGGACTTTCGCTGTGGGAGCGTGGGTCTGTCTTGGGGACTTGGCGAGCCGAACAGCACCAGTCTCGATCCTCTGACTTTTCCCCAGGCCCGGATAAGAAGAGAAAAGCGATGTCCGGTCGTAAACCTTTTTATTCTCCCATTACGTCGCAGGCCCGGGCCACCTCAGGCGGACTCCCCGTAGCTGGGTCCCAGCCAGTGGGGGCAGAGGCGGTGGATGGTCTGTCCAAAAACCTTCTCTTCCAGGGACCACAAATCCTCTCCTTTCGCCCTCTCTCTGACCTCCATGGGGCTTCCTTCAGACCCCCAGTGAAGATTGTGCTAATGGTCTCGGGCAGTCCAGCTCAAGGTACTGCGCAAGCCCAAACAGGGACTAAGGGTAGGAGACGAATGAGGAAAGGTCCTTAAGCCCTAATATCCAAGGATTGGGGGCTGTAAAAAGCCCTGAGGTAGAGAACGGACAAGCAGCCAGGGTTTGCTGCTTCCAGACTCCTTTCTGCTTCGGTAGTAAACAAGGCCCAGGCAGAGGGCTGTCATCCTGCAAGGAAGCCTCCAACCCTCACTTAGGCTCTGAGGGGGTGTCCAAGGCACAAGTGGAACCCCTCACAAAGGCCATGTCTGTCCGAAACTTCATGCTGGTGGGTGGCTGACGTCGGAGCAGTGACTCCCTCTGGTCCTGGGGTAGAGGCTCATCATATATGGTGGAGATGAGCCCCAAGCCAGTTCCACGGGGCCTCTTTGGTTGTCCAAATGGCTGAAGCTTCTCTCCATGGTACCTGGAAAGAGCTCGCAATAAGAGGGCTGCTCTCTCTGAAAACTCAGTAAAGGGGTTGGAAAAGGACAGGGAAATAGCTGCTACATATCTGTGTCTGAAAGACACAGCTGCCCTTTTTTTTCGGGGGGCGGGGGGTACTCCTCTGCTGGGAATCCAACCCAGAGCTTTGTGCATACCAGGCAAGCACTCTACCACTGAGCCACACATCCAGCCCCCCAAAAAGAGCTTTAAATCTGGAATTTTGCTCTCCAGCCTCCAGATCTATCTATTGACAGATAGTATCAGCAACAAGGGACCACAGATAGAACTTCTATCACATCACTACAGACTCCCTAACAGTTTTCAAGTCCAAACTCAGACTAAAAGTAAAAACTCTCCCAGGAGATCAATGACTACCTTGTCTTAGGGCTTGGTCTAAAATAAAAATGAATAGTGCCAGATCTACTTTTTTTTTTGGTACCAGGGATTGAACTTGGGGTCACTCAACCACTGAGCCATATCCCCAGCCCTATTTTGTATTTTTTATTTAGAGACAGGGTCTCACTGAGTTGCTTAGTGCCTCACCATTGCTAAGGCTGGCTTTGAACTCTCCATCCTTGTGCCTCAGCCTCCCGAGCTGCTGGGATTACAGGTGTGAACCACCACGTCCAGCTCAGATCCACTTTTTCCTTCTAACTTTGCTTTGAAGTTCATCCCCTAGGATACTCGGCACCTATCCCAAAACTAGCAGGAAGGCTGGCTTGAGTCCCTGGGAAGTCCCTAAGCCACACTTACCCCAATCCACGCTTACATCTGGGATGCTGGCCATCACCATCCAAGGCCTCAGGTACTCCTGAGCAACTGCTGCCCAGACCCTGGCCCTCAGCCCAGCCCTGCCGCTCCATCACTCTCCGGCCAATGCCCTGTAGAGAGAAGGGACAAGATTCAAGAAATGGGGCTCCTTCCTAGGGCATGAGGATTGGGGATGGGACAAGGAATGAAGACAAAGAAGGAAAAGAAAGGGGTCAGTGGAATGGGCACAGTGCTCACTCACCTTGGTGTGGCGCTCAAAGGTGCCCACCTGGTGTTCAATCACAGAGCCATGTTCCTGGCCATCACGGAGTCTCTGTTCTAGCCGCATTTGGACAGAGTCTCGGGCATCCTTGTCTCCACCATCTGAGGAACCAGAACCCAGTTTGCAGAAGGGTTCTTCTCAATGAAGGGGCAGGGGAGGGACCAGGTTTCTAGGATCCCCTCACAAGATTTACTGATATATTTTCTTGGTATCCAATTATATTACCTTCTTTCACTCATTAGAGGGGAGTGTGCCAAGAGTAGGAACCATGGCTCTCCTCATCATACAGATAAAGAAATTTTGGTACAGAAAACTCACAGAGCCAACAAATGACAGATGAAATCAGAACCCAGGTCTCCCCCCAACCCCAGGTAATTTTTTACTTCAGAGCTATGCTCTGATCAGAGCCTGAGTTCCTGATCACCCCACTTCACCAGGGCCTACTCATCAGACTCAGACCTCCCTGAGGACTGTCCTCATGTGTCCTTTCTCCTCACACAGCACAAAAAAAAAAAAAAAAAAAAAAACAGCCAACACTTAAAGTACTCAAGATGTCAAGTAGTCAGCCCTCTGTATCTACTGGTTCTGCATCTGTGGATACAACCAACCGTGGATTGAAAATACTCTGGAACTTTTTTCCCCAAATTATACAATATAATATGGTTATAGCATTTGCATTGTATTAAGTCATCTGAAGATTTTTTTTTTTTTTAAGAGATAACGTAAAGCATATGAAAGGATGTGTGTATGCTGTAAGCAAATACTGTGCCATTTTATTACATAAGGGACATGAGTATCTGCAGATTTTGGTATCTGTGAGGATCATGGAACCAGTCCCCTGAAGACAGCAAAGGAGCTGGTCTCCTATCTGTTTCAGTCAGCTAAGCACGCCTGGCAAAGTGTCACCCCAAGGCCAGGACAACAGTTCTACCCCTTTTGCCACCCCTAGCCCTGTACCTTTGTCGTAGTACACACTCATGTCCACATCCCAGTCATCAGCTGTCTGTTCATCAAAGTCTGCAGAGAGAGAAAAGCATTCAGCAGAGTGGGTTAAGAACTGCCAATTCTGTTGACAGCTAAACATGGTCCAGAATCTGAGGCTTTTGTTTGTATTTTCAGGAGCGTAATTCAGAATTGGAACTGAGGTGTTTTTCTGTCCATCCCACTGATCCTTCACTCCAAAAAGGGATGACTGCTCTCTCATATACAATAAAAGTAAGCCTGTTTCCTAGCTTTTTGTTTGGGTTCACTGTCAGGGAATCCACCGTGGGGAACAAAGAACCCCGAAAGAGCATAGAGAGTTCAACTGCTCTTGCCTGAGTGCCATCCTCCAAAAATTTGGATCTTAAACATCCTCCCAAAACCCATGTTAAAATTAGCTCGATCCCAGTTTGAAAGATGATGAAAACTTTTAAGGGTGGAGGGCCTATAGCACAGTGGCATGTGCCTGTAGTCCCAGCTAAACAGGAGGCTGAGGCAGGAAGATCACCTGAGTCCAGGAGTTTTTTTTTTGGGGGGGTTACCTGGGATTGAACTCAGGGGCACTAGACCACTAAGGTACACCCCCACCCTATTTTGTATTTTATTTAATAGAGTATATTAATTTTGTGTGTGGTGTGTGTTGTGCTGTGGATTGAACCCAGGGCCTTGTACATGTGAGGCAAGCACTCTACCAACTAAGCTATAACCCCAGCTCTTATATTTTATTTAGAAACAGGGTCTCACTGAGTTGCTTAGTACCTCGCTTTTGCTGAGGCTGGCTTTGAACTTGTGATCCTCCTGCCTCAGCCTCCCAAGCCACTGGGACTATAGGCGTGCACTACCACACCTGGCAAGCCCAGGAGTTTGAGACCAGCCTAGCAACATAAGGAAACCCTGTCTCAAAGTGGTGGGGCCTAGTGAGAGTTTTTTGGGTTATTTTTGGGTGTGACCTCAAAGGGGCCTATGACACCCTGGTTTCTTCCTTCTTTGCATCCCAGCCATTAGATGAATGGGCTTGGTGCACTATGTGCTTCCCTGTCAGTGTGCTGCCTCACACAGTCCCTTCCCCCTAAAAAAGCCCCAGGGTCAACTGACCTTGGAATAAAACCAGTGAACCAAAATAAACCTTTTCTCTCTAGAAGCTGATATCTCAGGTACTTGTTACAGTGACAGAAAGCTGACTAACACCACCTTACCTCCTTCTTCCTCCTGCCAGAACTGGGCATCAGTGTAGAATACTAGGCCAGAGCCACCCTTCTCCCACTTAAGCTCAATCTCCTCCTCAAAGAGCCGTTCAGTGGTCCGCTCCTGCCTGGTCACATCTTCATGCAGTGCTTCATGTCGCTCCCATTCCTCACCCCGGTCATCATCCTGGAAAAAGGTGGAAAGAGGTGACCTTACTGTTCAGCTGCCGACCTCACTTCCCTCCCTAAAGCCAGGCATGGTGGCACTCGCCTATACTTCCAGCGGCTGGAGAGGCTGAGGCTAGGAGATCAGGAGTTCAAAGCCAGCCTCAGCAACTTAGCGAGGCCCTAAGCAACTCAGTGAGACCCTTTCTCTAAATAAAATACACACACACAAAAAAAAAGGGCTGGGGATGTGGCTCAGTGGTTAAATGCCCTGGGTTCAATCCTCAATACCAAAAAAAAAAAAAAAAAAGTTCCCTCCCTAGAAGGGTCCATTCCTTCAGATGTCTCAGAAGCAGCACATATTTGGCCCTTGAAGCCTTCACCACCACATCTTACCATCCCAACATTGCTCAAAATAATTTGCTCCTCCCACGAGCAAAACTCACTTTCAGTTCTGTGCTCCTGGCCATGAAGATCCTCTTGGCTGAAATATGTGCCCTCTCCTCCCACACCAGTTAGTTCTTCACTTGGTTAAAGTTCAATCCCTCAAGTCCTATAGCCTATTAAAGGCCTACAGGTTTCTCACCAGTCTCTGAACTCTCAGTGCTAATCAACACACACTGTTTAGGCCTTCATGCCTTATGTTACAAAGAAAGAAAAGGCAAGAACTAACTGGGACTGGGGACTGGACTGGGAACATAGCTCAGTTGGTAGAGTGCTTGCCTAGTATCCATAAGGCCCTGTGTTCAATCCCCAGCACCACCAAAAAAAAAAAAAAGAACTAACAAGTTGTCCTAACAAAACCCATCTCACTTGATTTTATATATGAGCCAAATTTGGACAAAGGAGTTGAAGAACTATCTATTTTGCTGACAGAGTTAGTATAGAAGCTGGTGTTCAGTCCACTGACTCAAGGTCAGAAGCCAGTGGTAACTGCTCAGCCACACAGAGAAGGCACACAGAGGTTAGAGAAGTAGCAAGGAGGACTGGGTTCCCATCCCAGCTCTGTCTCTGCTTCCTTAGATGATCTTAGGCAAACTGAACATCTCTTCATCAGTACGTTTCTATGAAAAGGAGCCTTCCTAAGGTTAAAATAGCTTTTAAATTAATTTTGAGATTTGTAATTCAGTATTAAGGTGTTTTTTGTTGTTGTTGTTGTTATTATTAAAAAAAAAAAGAGAGAGAGAGAGCACACACCTGTAGTCCCATTGGCTCAGGCGGCTGAGGCAGGAAGATTGCATGTTCAAGGCCAGCCTCAGCAACTTAGTGAGACCCTGTCTCAAAAAAATATGGGGCTGGGATTGTAGCTCAGTGGTAGAGCACTTGCCTAGCATGTGTGAGGCACTGGGTTCGATTCTGAGCACCGCATATGAATGAATGAATGAATGAATGAATAAATAAAGGGCCTCATTGACAACTAAAATAAATAAATAAATAAATAAATAAATAGGGCTGGGGTTGTGGCTCAGTGACAGAGTGCTTGCCTAGCATGTGTAAGGCACTGGGTTTGAGTCTCAGCACCACATATAAATAAATAAAGGTCCGTCAATAACTAATAAAAATATTTTTAAAATAAATAAATAAAAATTAAAAATGGGCTCGAGATGTGGCTCAGTGATTGAGTATCCCTGAGTTTAATCCCTGGTACCAAAAACAAAAGGAACTTTCCTTCCTTCCAAGGGAATGAAAAGAAGTACCATTTTAAAAAATCTTTTTATATAAACTGAGTGCAATGGTGCATGCCTATAATCCTAGCAGCTCAGGAGGCTGAGAGAGGAGAATCACCAGTTTAAAGCTAGCCTCAGCAACTTAGCAAGACCTTGTCACTAAATAAATACAAAAAAGGGCTGGGGATATGGCTCAGTGGTTAAGTGCACTGGGTTCAATACCTGGTACCAAAAACAACAAAAATCTTATATAAACCATGGACCCTCTCCCTCAAATTAAATATACATATGTATATATGAATACATATATACACATATATATACACACATACATACACATATACATATACGTGTGCATGTGTATATATACCTATATATTGGCATGTACATATATGTATAGTGAGTGTATATAGACACACATACATACATACATGCAAATCCAGTTTTATAGTCAATGTCAGGGAGTTCTCATACTCCTTGGAAGCCCCGTGAGGACCCCAGGTTAAGAATCCTTGTAATATATGGAGCTCAGCAGCAGAGCGCTTGCTTAGCACATGTGAGGCACTGGGTTCGATCCTCAGCACCACATAAAAATAAATAAATATCCAACTACAACTAAAAAAAAAATTTTTTTTAAATCCTTGTAATATATAATTGAAACATAGTATTATTAATGCTCTGGCCTCTTTAAGCTGCCAACAAGGACAGGGTGTATAGTGTACTCACATCATCTGAGTGAGACTCTTCTTCCTCCTTTTCCCTTTCATCCTCTAGATCTTCATAAGGACCAGCTGGTGTATCTGCCAGGCAGGTTCCCTGGGGTATTTCCTCGCCCTCGGCTGTGTACACATGCTCTTCTTGTTCCACAGTCTCTGAGTCCTCATACTCAAAGGGCACATTGCCGTAGCGGCGAGAGGACCCCGTCTTAGGGAACTGGAGCTGCAGCTGGGTGATGATTCGGGGTGGTAGGCGGCAGGCCCGAATCAACTCCAAAAAGACCCGTAGGGGAGTCCCCACATTCCCATTAGGCATCAGCACTGGTGGGTTCAGTTCTGGCAGCTGCCTCAGGTCAGCCAGGGTGAAGACTTCATTCTTGGCCTTCCGATTCTGTAGTTCCTTCCGGGTCTTAAATGGAAAAGAGCCCAAACCTTGAGAAGAAAGAAGAATGGACTTTGAAAACCAGAAGCCTCCAGCAATACTTGAGCCAGAAATCAGTCAAGATTTAAATCCATTACCCTACTGAAGTTCCCTTTCAAACTTCTCTGAGTCCCTCCCTACAGCAGTTTCATGCCACTTCTCATCACCTTGGCTGAGCACATAAGTTTCTCACAGATTTGGCTCCTGCTGACCTTTTTTCCTCCTCCTCCGTTTTTTGTTTTTGGCACTGGGGTTTGAACCCAGGGGAGCTTTACCATTGAGCTACATCTACAGTCCTTTTTATTTTTTGAGACAGGGTCTGAGTTGCTTAGGGCCTTGCTAAATTGCTGAGGCTGCCCTTGAATTTGTAAACCTCCTACTTCAGTCTCCCAAATCACTAGGATTATAGGTGTGTACCTGCACCAGACTTCTCTCTCTCTCTCTCCCTCTCGGTGCTAGAGATTGTAGGGCCTTGTACATTCTAAGCATGTAGTATACCACTGAGCCACACCCCCAGCTTCATACTGACCTTTAGCATCTCAACTATCACCAACTCTCTTCTCCTGCACTCTCTCATAGCCAGTGTTCTAGCCACACCAAACAATTTAACATACCCAGAAAGTTCCACAGAATTTTTCATCTCTGTGTCTCCAAATGCCATTTACTATGAACACCATACTTTCCTATAATTCTTACTACTTTCAATATCTAGATTAAAAGCTACATTTCCTAAGGTCTCTAGGAATTCAGTTCCTCCCTCCTGTCACTCACAGTACTTAATAAGAAGCATAGGCTCTAGCAGGGTGTGGTGGTGGTGTGCACCTACAGCCCCAGCTACTCGGGAGGCTGAGGCAGGAGAATCACCTGAGCCCAGGAGTTCAAGGTCAGTCTAGGATATATAGTAAGCCCTTGTTAAAAATAAATAAACAAACAAACAACAACAAAAAAAAAAACTGGGCACTGTGGCACACGCCTGTAATCCCAGCAACTCAGGAGGCTGAGGCAGGAGGATCACGAGTTCAAAGCCAGCCTCAGCAATGTCGAGGCACTAGGAATTCAGTGAGACCCTGTCTTACAAAATAGGGCTAGGGATGTGGCTCAGTGGTTGAGTGCCCCTGCGTTCAATCCCTAGTACCAAAAAAAAAAAAAAAAAAAAAAACAAACAAAAAACATAGACTCTACAGCAGACACAGGTTTGTATTCTGGCTCTGACACTTATTAGCTCTGTAATCTTGGGCAAGTCACAAACTTCTGCATTCCTCAGTTTTCTCACCTATAAAATGGGAATAACAATAGTTTCTATCTCATAGAATTGTTGTATGGGATCAATAAGACAATAAAAGGCTGGCCAGGCATGGTGAGGCACACCTGTAATCTCAGTCGTTCAGGAGGCTGAGGCAGGAGGATTACAAGTTGTAGGTCAGCCTCAGCAACTTAGGGAAACCTTATTTGAAAAAAAAAGAAAAAAAGACTAAGGATTTAGCTCACTAGTAGAGTTCCCCTGGATTCAATTCCTAGTACTGTGAAAGAAATAAGGAAAATAAAAGAAAGAAAATGATGGGCTGGAAGTGTGACTCAGTGATGGGGTTTGATCATCAGCACACATTAAAAAAATAAATGTAGCCATTTGGGCCAATGAAGTGGCTGAGGCAGGAGGATTGTCTCAGTGTGGGCAACAAAGTGAGACAGACACTCTTTTTCTCTTTTTGGTACTAGAGATTGAACCTAGAGGCACTTTACCACTCGGTCACATCCCTCTCCCTTTTGTTTTTCTTTTAAGGCAGGGTCTTACTAAGTTGCTTAGGGCCCTGCTAAATTGTTGAGGTTGGCCTCAAACTTGAGATCCTCCTGCTTCAGCTTCCCTAGTCACTGGGATCACAGATGTGTGCCACTACATCCCACTAATGACTCTGTCTCTTAAAAATAAATAAATAAAGCCAGGCCCAGTGGTGCATGCCAGTAATCCCAGCCACCGAGGCTGAGGCAGGAGAATCACAAGTTTGTGACCAGCCTGGGCAATTTACCAAGACCTGGTATCAAAATTAAAATAAAATAAAATGGGGTGGGAATGTAGCTCAGTAGCACAGCAGACCTACATTCAATCTCTAGTACAATATACCCAAAGTAAGAAAATGAAAGGCCTAGTACAGTACACAGAGTTAACCCAGTAACTATTAATAATTAGAATAACAACTCTAACAATTACCTCTTTCTAAATCTGTTTTTCTCTGTGGATTCTGAGCACAGAGTGTCCAACTGTTCTCTGCATACCAGTTAGCATCACATTAGGTCTAGAAATATAGCCATCTGTTAAATGAATAAATGGGAGGACTATGCACTGTATTTCCTATTTCCCCAAATGATTACCAAAGCAAGTGGGAACTATCCAAAGCAAAGAAATTGGAAGGGTGTCAAAGAGAGTGCAAAAGGGCTATATGAAAATTGTCAGATCAAAATGGAAACACTTATGCCAAACATTAACAAAATGGAGGAGGCAGGAGGTCTTCACCCACATTTCCCTGATAAAAGGCACTATTGCAAGACTGCCAAACCACAACCTTGCACAAAAGCTACTATGAACCTTAAACAAAAATACTTCTATAAGGACATCTACCCAACAACTGCCTGTTCAATCTTGAACTGACTCCACCCTTATTATTGATCCTTGTAAGCAAGGATCATTGTTTCAAAACAATTTAGGTAACCTTCCACATTTCGCCTTTGAGACCCTTGTCTACCTTTGCCTCCCTGATACACTTAAGGCCCTCCAAGGTTCACCATGGCACATGGATCCCCGACTGCAATTCCTCTTTGCTCCCAAATAAACTTTTTTTTTGAAGAACCAGTCTCTCTACTGCTTATATTAGGTTGACAAAAACTTGATTTCCTTTTTTGTCAGTGCAAAATCAACTTCTCTGAGAAAAGATCTCAGAGAGGATCAAATAAACTGAAAAATGGATGATGGAGCATCTGAATAGGCTTCTTTCCTTTGTTAATTCCTAAGTTAAACTAAGGTTCAAGTTGGGCCTGAAGCTCTGTCCATAAATGAACTAACCTCTGAGTAGTAAACAGAGAGGTGTAACTTATCTTCGCCACCCCTCGGGAAAGGTGCCTTTATTTTTGAGCATGTAGGCCCAGTCCATTATCTTTTTTGGGGGGGGCGGGCGGTGGGGGCATACAGGGGATTGAACTCAAGGGCACTGGACCGCTGAGCCACATCCCCAGTCCTATTCTGCATTTCATTTAGAGACAGGGTCTCACTGAGTTGCTTGGCGCCTCGCTTTTGCTGAGGCTGGCTTTGAACTGGGGATTCTCCTCCCGAGCCGCTGGGATTACAGGCATGCGTCACCGCGCCCGGCCAGTCCATTATCTTTTATACTTATACCTGATGCCTCAGTGGGTAGCCTAAGTCGGTGGATGACACAGCGACCCGGGAGCCAGGTTCCTAGAGAATCCAGCCACCGGCGTCCTGAGTACATGCGAAGAAACCTCTGGGCTTTAGCCAACCCCCGAACAGAGATGACGCAGCAGCAGGTGCGGGTCTGAGCGGGAGCAGTGTTCCGAGTGGAGAAACTTCGGGCATCGGTGGCCGCAGTCTGGGAGAGAACCTGACCCTCAGCAACAGGATTGGCAGAAGTGGGGACAGAGTCGGGAGTGGCCTGGGGATGGGCCCGCTCCGGCCGATGCCGGTAATGGAAACAGAGGAAGCCACCGCCCGGCTGTTCCCGGAACTGGCTAAAATAGCTCCGTAGCTGGGCCGAGCGCAACCCAGAGGGGATACCGCTCACTACCAGGTAAACTGTCGCCTCTTCCTCCGCCTCGCCGGGCAACGCCATCTTGGATTGTCACATGATCGGCTAGAACCAATTCTCACGAGAACATCGTGAGACTTGCTGGACGCCCGTGTCGCGAGGTTTTGAAACCGGTAATCAGATTGGTGAATGTGAGACCTGTTGTTGGGAAGGCCCGGAAGAAGTGGTCCACGTCCCTTTCCCACAAGGAACCTGCGATTTTGGAAAAACTCACCTGAAAAATGGAACAGTAGAGCTCTTTAAAAAGGGTCCAGTGTGGATCAAGTAGAAAACGTGCAGGAGAGAGCATTTTAAAGACATTTAGCTGTTGTGTGTCACCCAAACTTTTACCAGTCTTCCTCAGTTCAGAATCTGTTTAGCCGTCCATCATTTATTCTTCCAAAATATTAATGAACTCCCACAAATCAGTAAGAAGAAACTAACTCAGAAAAAATGGACTGAAGATAATTCACAAAAGAGGGAACACACGTTTGATTATAATGAAAGGCGATCTCAATAAAAATGCAACTATGTTGAGATTCGTTTCACTTTCACCACATTGGCAAAATTTAAGACTCAAAAATATAAGCAACGATGTGCAACTGGAGCTATTATACACTGTTGGTGGAAGTGTAAATTGATAGAACCACTTTGGAAAACAATTCGGCATTATCTAGTAAAGTGAAGCTGTATGAGCTGCACCTCCAGCCCCTGTCTTGACCCAGCAATTCTACTTTCAGGCATATACTATGAAGAAATTATTGAAATTATGTTTATCAGGAGATGTAATGACACTGTGCACACAGTCCTGTGATCCTGGAAAACGGTGGAAATTAAGGACTCCTACTCATCCCCTCCCCTATTCTTTTGTGTTCTGGAACAGTTTTCTGTGAAGAATCAAATCACACTTCTCCATAGGACTTAGATTAGATTCATGGATGTTCCCATGTTGACCTGTAACAAAGCCAGACACAGATTCCAAATTCCAATTCTTTGCCTCATAAAAGTTTAGATGAACTTACTGTCCCCATTGATCAATCAGAACAAAATACTTGTTAACCAACTTTGGTTTAACTTCTCTTGTTTCCCCAGGTCCCTGAACTCTGGCCCAATCTCAGCTTGAGCCAGCGCAACTCCTCCTCAACAGCCCCTCCTGAAAATAGGTTGGCTTAAGGGTAAAACATTCTCTAATCTACTGACCGTTGATGCTTCTTCTGGTCATCCCACTTCCTCACACCCATTCTTTCAAATCTTCCTATGAAAGAAAACCCCTGTTTACCTAACCCTTGCCAATCTCATGGTCAAGGTCAGAGTCCCTACTGCAAAAATCCCCGTCCCCCTAATTGCAATAAGGCCTTTCTTCCTTTGTAGTAATCCAAGTCTCATTGAATCTAGAGTTGCTCTTTGTTTGTTTGTTTTTGTTTTGTTTTCTTTTGAGGGGGAGGTTTGGAGGTGCTGGAGATTGAACCCAGGGCTTTAGACATACTAAGCAAGCACTCTACCACTGAGCTATGTCTCCAGCCCCTTTTTATTACTATTTTATTTATTTAATTTTTAGAGATGAGAGAACTTAGCATCCCTGAGGAAGCACAGACCACTCACAGTCATGGAGCAAATATATGGAAATGATGAAAATGAAAATCACATTGTCAAAATTTTAGCTGTCTGTGAGTGAATTTTTTTTTTAAGAGAGAGAATTTTAATATTTATTTTTTTTTTTAGTTTTCGGCAGACACAACATCTTTTGTTTGTATGTGGTGCTGAGGATCGAACCCAGGCCGCATGCATGCCAGGCGAGCACGCTACCGCTTGAGCCACATCCCCAGCCCTGTTACTATTTTATTTTTATTTTGAGATAGGATCTTGATAAGTTGCTCAGGGCCTTGCTATATTGCTGAGACTGGCCTTGAACTTTCAATCCTCCTGCTTCAGCCTCCCATGTCTCTGCACACAACATTAGAATGTTTTTATCTTTTTATTCATTACATATATATGTATCTATATGATCACCACAAAAGTAACTACTACCTTTAAAAATCTGGAAATTGGCCAGGTGTGGTGGTGCAAACCTGTAATCCCACCTACTGAGGAGCCTGAGGCAAGAGGATGGCAAATTCAAGGACAGCTTTGGCAACTTGGTGAGACCCTGCATCAAAATAAAAAAAATTTTTTTTAAAAAGGGCTAGGGTATAGGTCAGTGGTAGAGTGGTGCCGCCCCTGGGTCTGCAAGTCTGAGGTTTGACTCCTGGGCCCCTGAGTTTCCTTCCCTTGGGGTCTCTCTGGTAGGGGAAGGAAGAGGATCCAGAGGGAGCTGGTTCCTTTCAAATGTACAAACTACAGTGTCAGGCTCCAAGGGCATCACACCTCTTATTACAAAAATCATCATTTGTTTAATAGCAAATGATGAAAGCCAAAATAATGATGACATGCTATGGAAAAGCTGTGAGATGACCAAGAAGTTGTACACTTACAATTACTCATAATTGCGATTTGTGGAACTAAATTTCTAGGACCTAGCAGGATGCTCAGTACATAGTAGACTTAGTAAGTCATGGAATGAATGTTGAGGGGGAGGTTTGGAGGTAATGAATGATGGAATGAATATTGCTGGCACTAACATGGGGCTACGCCCCTGAGTATGGCCATGAACTCCCTCTAGGTAAAGTGGGGCCACTTTCTTTGGAGAATACACAGGCCATATATCTCATCATTTCACCTCATAGTCGGGTGAGGAAGAGAAGGAGTTTAGCTGCTGTTTATTTATCTTATTTTATTTATTTATTTTTTGTGGTGCTGGGGATTGAACCCAGGGCCTTGTGCATGCAAGGTAAGCACTCCACCAACTGAGCTATGTCCCCAGCCCAGTTGCTGTTTATTCTTTAGTTGATCATTCCTGACTCTGGGGGTTTTCTTTTTTGTTGTCGCTGTTTTGTTTTGCTAATTATTGTTATTTTGTGGTGCTAGGGATCAAACCCAGGGCCTCCAACATGATAGACAACTGCTATACAACTGAGATACAACCCCAACCCCTAGCCCCCTGCCCAATGCTTTTTTTTTTTTTTTTTTTTGTAGGGGGTATTAAACCCAGGGGCACTTAACTACTGATCCACATCCCCAGCCCCTTTTTGTATTTTATTAGAGACAGGGTCTTGCTGAATTTCTTAGGGCCTCGATCAAAGTTGCTAAGGCTGGCTTGGAATTCAGGATCCTCCTTCCTCAGCCTCCTGAGCTGCTAGGATCACAGGTATGTGCCATCATGCCCAGCCTAATCCAACTCTTTAAAGATGCCACAGCCTGGGCTTTCCTCTGGCCATGTCTGTCAGGAATAGGAGGTCCCATTTGTTAACCTGGATTCCCTTGAGATCTTAGTCTGGTCTCCACCAGTTTCACTGGAATTTCTGTTCTCTGCTATGTTACTCTGATGCAGTCTGTGTGTGCATCAGTGTGCTGATCATTCCATTCCCTTTGTTCTCTGACACCTCTCTGCTTTTGCATAAGTCATTCCCTCGGTTCAGAATGCCCATCCTTGCAAACCTGTATTCATTCTCAAAACAGTCACCAATTGAATGAAGCATTTTTCCTACCTCCATTCAGATTGAATTATTCCAGCTGCCTGTGGTGTGTTCCTCTCACACAGTTCAGATCTCTTCATGTTATATTTAATTCTGTGTCTTCCTCTGCCAGGGGTAGGATGTTGCATGAGGGCAAGAACTGTATCTTATTTATTGTGTGCTCTGGTTCCTGGCATCTAATACAAGGTCTGGTACAAGTGGAGATCAAGAGACAATGAATGATGGGGTGAACAAATGGATGGATGGATAATAGGATATGCAGATGCCCAAGGGCAAAGTGAGTCAGTGAGGGCACAGCACATGTGAGCTGCCTGACTGCTTAATAAGCACTCAATGATTTGGCTAATGAGGATAGAGATAACGAGGCAATAAAATGGTAACTTAGGCTGACCCAGAGCCACAGCCACCCTCCTGCTTTCCAGTGAATCAGCCCTGGCTGGGCCTGAGGACAGGGATCATGGCTGAGAGGTAAACGGTCAGTAAGCAGTGGCTCAGCTGGCTCCAGACAGCCTGATCCTGGCCATGACTCATGCCAGCCAATGCTGTTGGCAAGAACCTGGCCTCTGGAGTCACATGAGTCTCAGCTCAAATCTCAGCCCAGACAGTGAACAGCCCAGACCATGAGTAAGTTCCATACCCTGTCTGGGCCTGTTTCCTTCTCTTCCCTCCCTGAAACTAAGACACAGGTCTTACCCCAGGATAGTTATAATGGAGACACAGCCCCCCACCTTTGAAAAGCCTGTGATCTCATGGAGAAAGCAATATTATCCTTATATTGTTCCATAATTGTCTCTATTGAGACAATTTATGTTCCTAGCACAAGACTTAGAGCTAGGGCACAGGGAACGACTCAAGGAATAAAGATGAGAAATGGGAGTTTAGCTACCCATCCCCATGGAGGGATAGGAGGAAATTTGAAAAGGAATGTGTTTTGTTGTGTGAATGTGTTTGGGTCTGCAGCGTGTTGTTGACCAAGTATATCTGAGCCATGCTTTTCTGTGCTGTGTGGTGTGGATGGAGGTGTGTGTGTGTGTGTGTGTGTGTGAGAGAGAGAGAGAGAGAGAGAGAGAGACAGAGGGAGTTGAATGTCTATGAAGATGTGTCTGAGTTATACACTTGAGTTGCGTGTATCTTTGTTATGATACAACATTTGGGGTCTGAACCATGTGTTTCTGTCTCTTTCTGGTGTCTGACTTATGTGCAGGCTGCTGAGCAAGAGATGGGGTGCCCTTGCTACTGGCACTAGGTACCCATAATGAGGACATGGCCAGTTCATTATGGTCCTAACCTGGGGTCTTAGAAAAAGGCTTGAATGAGCCAGGCACTGTGGTACATGCCCACAATCCCAGTGACTTGAGAGACTGAGGCAGGAGGATCACAAGTTCAAGACCAGCCTCAGCAACAAGACCCTGTCTCAAAATAAAAAAATAAAGAGGGCTGGGGGGGTAGAGTGAGTGCCCCTGAGCTCAATCCCCAGTACCAAAAAAAAGAAAAAGACAAAGAAAGAGGCCTGAATGATGACTCCTAGACTGTTGTCCCTGAGAGAATGACCTCTCTCAGTGAGCAATAATTAACTTGTACCCGTGAGAAGAATCCAAACTGTGGTGGTAATGGAGGTGGGGCCTGGTCAGGACAGACCTTATTGCTGGAGAAAGGAGGAGACCTGAAAGTCCTATAGGCATTTGTGTTGTTATCATTACCTCCTGTCCACCCTTCAGGTCATTCACCCTGACCAGGGTGACCAGGTCAAAATATTTAACAAACATTGAGAAACAGATATTGACCAATTAGGACAGCCCCAAGCTGTGCTCTGAATGAAGCGGTGCTAGAGGCCATGGCTCAGCCTCTGGAGTGGCTAGACGATGGGAATGTCCAAGGGACATTGGACAGGACAGGACAGAGGGGCAGTAGAAGGGGACTGGTGGGTGGGCCAGGGCAGTAGCTGTGAACCAACTGTCATGAAAGTATTTCAAACTTTAACAACAATGCCTGATCATACCACTGTGGCCAGCTAAACCTCGGCCTGCCCCAGCCTCTAAGCAGCTTCCAGGCCAGCCTAGGTGCCTCGTGCCCTTGCATTGGGAGGATAACGGACCACCCTCTTCTGTTGGCTACAGAAATGGGGGATGTGAATGATCCCAAACTCCCAAACTACAGAAATCACAGTGACCTTGTCTGTTTCAGTTTGAAATGGGCTGCTTCCTTCATTACTTCGTTTCTTCTTTTTCTGCCCCACCTCTCTTTCTGTCTTTGCTGCTGGGATTGAACCCAGGGCCTTCCATATGCCAAACATGCTTTACCACTGAGCTACACCCCAGTCCACAGGGACGGCTTCACAACTGGCTGTGATCCGACTTTCCCTCGGATGAGAGGGAGCCTGGCAGGGAACAGGAGCCCTGGTGGTTTAGTGGAGGACCTGGGGATAGGAAAGAAACCCTCTCCTCCCAAAAGTAAAAGCAAGGAAGTAAAGGTATTAAGAACTGATACTATCTCCTGGATTCAGATCCAGATGCCAAACAAATCTCATCCCAAGAAATGGAGTCACCATCCCAATGAAAAATTAATACCCCAGCTGTCTGAGGCTTGTCTCCTGGGCCCCTGTGTTTCCTTCCCTTGGGGTCTCTCTGGTAGGGGAAGGAAGGGGATCCAGAGGGAGCTGGTTCCTTTCAAATGTACAAACTACAGTGTCAGGCTCCAAGGGCATCACACCTTTTATTACAAAAAACAATAACTTAATTTAGCTCTGTACAAAGTCAGGAAGAATTCTGCCCCAGTGAGCAATCTAACTTCCAAACAGTCAAACTTCCAAACCATCCCCAGAGGGGACAGCATTCTTGGCCCAGAGGCTCTGGGGACCACCAAGGGCCTACCAGATAGCTGGAGTACTGTGTCCAAACTGTGGAAGTCCAAGTTGGGGTGTGGCTGAGTGAGCCTCCTGGGGGGCTGAGTGCTATCTAGCAGGCTTTCCTCTCCAGGAGTGTTGACTCTCTGTTGGGGACAGCCAGGCCAAATCAGCACTGCAAGCTTCTGCAGGTCACCTCAGCAAAAGCATGTCCTCGAGGAGTCCAGTGATGTCTACATCTCCAATGATAGGGCGAAAGAAGAGGTCCCCAAGAAGGCTGGATGGAATGCTCTTAAGAGAGGAGGCCGTGAGGAGGACCCGTGCCAAGCGGCCTTGGCCTGCTGGGTACCAGGGCTCCAGGACTTCACACAGGGCCCAGTGAGCCTCCTGCTGCAGGTGCCCAATGTGGGAGGAGGCATGAAGGCCTGGCACATCTGCAGGAGGACAGAGTGAGAGGATTGGTGAGCATCCCACTCCCAGCCACCAAAGGATGACGCTGGCCCAGAATCTGAGGCCACCAGCAAACACCCTTCTGCACCTCTCTCTCCCGCTTTTCTCTCCCCAACCTCAGTACTGGGGATTGAACCCAGGGGCACTTAACCACTGAGCCACTTCCCCAGCTCTTTCTTTCTTTCTTTTTTTTTTTGAGACAAGGTCTTGCTAAGTTGCCTAGGTTGGCCTCAAACTCGTGATCCTCCTGACTCAGCTTCCCAAGAAACTTGCTCAAGTAGTTTTTCTTTTCTTTGGTGGCAAGGAAGGTGCTAGGGATTGAACCCAGGGCTCTGTGCCTATCAGGCAAGTGCTCTGCCACTGAACGACCCTCCCGTCCCTCGCTTCCTTTGCTCAGTCTTCCAGGCCCCACTCTTCCACCTCCATAATTTAGTTTTTCATTTTACTCACCCATCCATTTATGGAGAGGCAGTATGAAGAACTAGACTGCCTCTGGCATCACTAAATAGCTGAGTAATCTTAGTCAACTGTGTCTTAGTTTCTTTCTCTCCCATTTTTTTTTTTTTTTTAATACTGAGGATTGAACCCAGGCCCTCAGGCATGCTAAGCAAACACTCTAACCACTGAGCCACATCCCCAGCTACTTTTATTTTTTATTTTGAGACAGAATCTCACTAATTTGCCCAGGCTGGCCTTGAGCTTGCAATCCTGCTGCCTCAGTTTCCCAAATAGCTGGGATTTCAGGTGTGCATTAACATGCCCAGCCTGCAGTTCTTCATCTGTAAAGGAGGAATAATAGTACTTGTCTCAGCCAGGAGCAATGGTACACATCTATAATCCCAGCTCCTCTGGAGACTGAGGCAGAAAGATCCCAAGTTTGAAGCCAGCCTCAGCAACTTAGCATCTTAGCAAGGCCCTTAAGCAACTTAGCAAGACCCTATCTCAAAATAAAAAATCCAAAGGCCTAGGGGTGTATCTCAGTGGTTAAGCATCCCTGGGCTCAATCCCCAGCACTTAAAAAAATAATAATTCCACTCTGCTGGGCTTTTTATGAGGTTTAAATAAGCCAGTATATGTAAACCCTGAGATGAGGACCTAACATATGGTATGTGTAATATAAGGGTTCACTACTATTATTACAATAGTAATATGCATTATGGATGCCACAAAGGCCTTAGGGTGAGGAACTCCCACCCCATGCTCTCTCACTACCAAGAATACTCTCTGTTACTCTCCTGGCCTATTTTACAAAGGCATCCTCCTGTCCTCCGCTCCCCTTCATTCCTCTCCTCTGTGTGATCTTTCTGAACCCATAGAGGAGTTTCACTTTCAGAACTTCATCATACAGTCTGCCCTTGAAGATATGACAGAGACACAGCTGTGCTATGCTCCTCACCCCACATTCCCTAAGGGTCATAGCAGATTTCTCAGGAACAGTGGCAAGGGCCAGTCTCTGGAGTGAACAGACCTGAGTTCCCATCTCTGCTTGCCCCTATCTGGCTGTGGGACCTTCAGCTAGTCACTTAGCTTCTCTGTGCCTATAATGTGAGATGATAATTCCATGATACCAAGGACCCAATGTGATAGTGGATGTCAGGCCCTTAGAAGGTCCTTCCTTGGCTAGGCCCTGGCCCCTTCCTACCACGGCCCCCTTCTTTGAGTGTCTGGGAGCTTACCTGGATTGAAGAGGATGGTTCCTTTCAGGTAGGCATACTCTTTGGGGCCCAGCTTGAGACTCCAGAAGGATTCTAGGCAGCACTGAAGCCACTGCACAGCAGCCAGCGAGGGCTGGGGCCTGTCGGGTGGCTGTCCCCAGCCAGCACTGCTGCTGGGCTCCTCCAGCAGGATCTTCTTGAGTATGCTGGGCACTGGGGCTTCAGCCACCTCAAAGGTCACTGTGTCTTGGGCCAACCCAAGCAGGAAGAGAGAGCCCCAGCAGCCCTGTAGCAGCCGCCGCTGATCCTGCGGAGGGAGCTGGCAGAAGGAGGGCAGGTTCCTGAGGAAGGCCACTGTTTTGGCCAGGACATCCAAGGCCTCCCGGCAGGTGCGGTGGGGGGCACACAGGCGGACAGGCCGGTGCTGTAGGCACAGGCAGCGGCTTGGGGATGGGGGCACTGAGGGCCTGGGCCGGAGGCTGGGGCTCAGAAGTGTGTACAGAATGGTCGGGTGGCTTGTAGCACCCTGGCACGGGCAGGCCCCTGGTTGGCTGGCGCTCATGGTTAGGGACCTGCTCCTATGTCTTCCAGCTCTCTGGCCCTCTGTGCTGAGCTGTTGGTGTTATTTATACCGCCAAAGGGCGGGAGGGAGGATGGCCCGACAACCTTGACTCCAGAAGTCATGTTCATTGAAAAAAACAAGGCGCGCGCACACACACTGACCCTGGCTGGACTGGTGGGGAAGTGGCGGGGGAGGGGGAATCTGGAGCTCCACGTGGCATTGCTATCGCTTCAGTCAATGAAAGTGGCTGGTGCAGGGCACAGGGCTGCGGCCTGCTGGCCTGGCTGCCCCTTATCGGATGACTCAAGTGGATAAACAGGGTCATTAACCCAGGCTGTACCAGGGCACCAAGGCCTCAGGTGCACAATCAGCAGGTGGCTGTGACTGGTGTTTCTATTGGTGCCCACTCTTCTGTGTATACAAGACCACGGTTCTTTCTTTCTTTATATATATATAAATTGTAGTTGGACACAATATCTTTATTTTATTTATTTTTATGTGGCGCTGAGGATTGAACCCAGCACCTCAAACATGCTAGTCAAGCATTCTACCGCTAAGCCACAAGCCCTCCCAAAGACCAGGGTTCTTGCAGAGCCAGGAAACCAGCCACAGAGCTGGACAAGCCTTGAATGCAAAGGCCACCCTGGAAGTGCCTTATCATTAACTTGTTTGCGTAACCTTGGGGGCCCTGCTCCTGTTGTGGCAAGGAACAGGTTGCAGGGAAAGCAGCCAGGACTCTGGGGGACTGGGAGGACTTTGTCCACTGTGAAGTTTAAGAGGTCCCCTTCTCTGACTCCAGTTCTGGGCTCCTGCGGGAATAAAGTCCTTCAGAACTCTCTGTCCCAAGCCTGGATTCCTCCAACTCCTGAGAGGTTATGTCTGCTGAGAAACCCTCAGAGAATGATCATGAAATATGGTTGCCATTTACGGAGCACCTACTATGTGCCAGTCACTTTCTACAAGTATTGAGAGCTTCCTCGTGAGGCTAGATACTTACATTGTGAGACTCAAAGAGGTGAGGTGCCTTGCCCATGGTCACTCAAACACAAAGGGACAGAGCCCAGATTTGTCTGTCCCAAAGTCCTTTTTTGTTCCCCCAGATCCACTGGCCCAATTGTGCAGCCAAGGCCTGAGCTTCCCAGATCTGGTGGCTAGCTGCTCACCCCCACTGCCCCGCTGCGGCCTGCTCTGCAGATGCCCACCTGGGACCTGGACAGAAATGTTGCTCTGCTGCCCCATGGCTCCTCTGTCCTGGCATCTGTCTCAGACAGTAGGAGTGGGAGAAAGGGGGACTTGGAGGTCCAGCCTGCTACATGCTGGGCAATCTGGTGCCCTGGATGGAGAGAGAGAGGCTCTGGCATCACCAGAGCTGGCATTTGCTTTTGGCTCCATCACTTCTCAGCCAGTTGTGTAACTTTGGGCTGATCCTTGGTCATCTGTCCATCTGTCTGTCCATCTGTGATCCTAAGTCCTTCCTGCAGGGCTGTGTGAGGACAGAGCAAGGTCCTGGATGTCAAAGGAGTTCTGAAATGCAGTGTGGGGATTTAGCTTCCTACTGTTCTCTAGCTAAGGGGCCAAGTACCCCAAGACAGGCAGACATGTGTTTTCATTTGTGAATGATTTGTGTGTGTGTGTGTGTGTGTGTGTGTGTGGCGGGTACTGGGGATTGAACCCAGGGGCACTTTACCACAGAGCAACATCCCCAACTCTTTATACTTTTGAAACAGGATCGTACTAAATTGCTGAGGGCTGGCCTCAAACTTGTGATCCTCCTGTCTCCACAGTAGCTGGGATTATAGACATGTTCCACTATGCCCAGCTTGATCCTTATATTTTTAAAGTTGCTGTCATGTCCCCTTTATTCACTGAAGCTTCATAGCTTCCCCTCAAAGAAGACTCTGGAGTCAGATTGCCTGGGTCCAAATACTGCTTCTTCACTTAGCCGGATGTCCTTGAATAAGCCTCTTTTCTTTCTGTGGCTTGGTTTCCTGAGGCTGCCAAGTTGTTGTGATTATTAACGTGTGCCACCAAGCCCAGCTGGTTTCCTCATATTTAAAAGGGTGACAAGAAGCCAGGCATAGTGGCACACACCTGTAATCCAAGCAACCCAGGAGGCTGAGGCAGGAGTATTGCAAATTCAAAGCCAGCCTCAGCAATTTAGTGAGGCCCTAAGCAATTTAGAGAGACCCTGTCTCAAAATTAAAAATAAAAAAGGCTGGGGATTTGGCTCAGTGGTAAAGTACTCCTGGGTTCAATTTCCAGTACAAGAAAACACACACACACACACACACACACACACGCACACACGCGCGCACATCCACACACAAAAAAAAACCCCACAACAACATAAAAACCCCATAAGCATCACAAATCCAAAATAACAAAATACTTTTACTATATTTACAATAGTGGTCTTAACAATTGACTGACAAAATGTGCCTACATGGTTTAACTGCATTTTCTTTGCTCCTCTCATTCTATTTCAGGTAGTGATCTGTTTATTTTTATTTTGAAGCAACTGCAAACAGGAAAGTTGCAAGGAGAGTACAGGGCTTTGTTGTTTTGTTTTGTTTTGTTTTTCTCCGCATTGGGTATTGAACCCAGGGGTTCTCTACCACTATGTTACATCCCCTGCCCATTTTTGTTTTGACATGATCTGGCTAAATTGCTGAGGCTGACCTCCAATTTGTGATCCTCCTGCCTCATCCTCCCCAGTCTATGGGATTACAAATGTGCACCACTGCCTGGATATTTGGTATAATTCCTATCAAAAAAGAAAACTGGGGCTGGGGTGGTGGCTCAGTGGTAGAGCACTTGCCTAGCATATGTGAGGCACTGGGTTGATTCTCAGCACCACATATAAATAAATGAATGAAATAAAGGTCTATCAACAGCTAAAAAAAACATTTAAAAAATAAAATTGTGCAAGGAATATCTATGATTACATATGCCATATACTTTTTAGTTTTGTCTTTGTTTTTGTGGTGCTAGGGGAATCAAACCCAGGATCTCATGCATGCTAGGCAAACACTTTATCACTCTATCACAACCCCAGCCCTGCATATTCTTTATAAGAAAGAAGTTTCTATTTGAGTTGGTATCAATATGAAAGGGCAATTTACACATGTGATGCTTGAAAGAATTTTGCACAGATTCGCATCTTGCTTCACACATATACTTTTTCTCTTCCACCACCCACATACTTTCAGATGACATAGTGTCACGATCACCCACTTGTTTGCTGTGGGTAGTGTTCAAATGCACATGCAATCAAAAGTCACCAGCTTTCCACCGAGAGGACTTCTTAGGCAACATCTAATATCTTGGTGAATTCAAGGCTCAAGATCAGGCTTTAGTCTCTTAGCGAGGAGTCACATTATAGAAGTACCTGGGACTGCTTTCTAAAATCAGAATGTCAGTTCAGGGAGGTAGAACCCTAAGGAGAAGTGGGCAAGGAGTGGATTCTGGAGTCAGTCTGACTGGGTTAAATCCTGTCTCTTCCCTTTCAGCTGTGTGACCTTGGGTATGTAACTTCATTTTTCTTCCTTTCATTCTCAAATGAGATTCAAAACAGCATTCATATCATAGGAACATAGGAAGGGTGTTTTCAGCCAAATAAGTACTTAGTGCAGTACTGAACACTTAAGAACAAGTCAGTAAACTTTACTGACATTGTATACAATTGGTTAATGACATCAGGCAAAGACCATTTATTCATTCCCAAATTTTTTTTGGTGGGGAGTATACCAGGGATTGAACACAGGGGTGCTTAACTACTGAGCCACATCCCCAGCCCTATGTTTTGTTTTTTTTCTTAGGGTCTTATTAAAAGTTGCTTAGGGACTCACTAAATTGCTAAGGCTGGCTTTGAACTTGCTACTTTTCTGCCTCAGCCTCTTGAGCCATTGGGATGACAGGCATGTGCCACTGACCTGGCCCACCAAATATATTTGGAGGTTCTACAATGTTTGGGGCTCTGATTTAAATGCTCAAATGAATCACATAGTTGCTAGTTTCTATGAAATTTATATTCCAGTGAGGGGAAATGAATGTGGAACCAAAATTTCTTAATTGTATATTTCAATTGTAGTAAGTAATAAAAAAGGATGAGCAGAGGGCACTTTGAAGTTGTTTTTTTTTTGGGGGGGGGTACTAGGGATTGAACCAGTGGTTAATCAGTGCTTACCCACTGAGTCACATATTCAGTCTTTTCTTTTTTGAGGGGGGGTGCTATCAGAGATTGAAACCAGGGACACTCAACCACTGAGCAACATCCTCAGCCCTTTTTTTGGGCGGGGATACCGGGATTGAACTCAGGGGCATCTGACCACTGAGCCACATCCCCAGCCCTATTTTGTATTTATTTAGAGACAGGGTCTCACTGAGTTGCTTAACACCTTGCTTTTGCTGAGGCTGGCTTTGAACTTGAGATCCTCCTGCCTCAGCCTCAAGAGCCTCTGAGCCGGGATTACAGGTGTGTGCCCCTGGGCTGGCTCCTTTCTTTTTATTTTTTATTTTGAGACAGGATCTTTCTAAGTTGCTAAGGGCCTTGATAAATTGCTGAGGCTGGTGATTCTCCTGCCTTATCCTCCAGAGTTGTGATTACGTGTACGTCATGGTGCCCTGTTCAGCAGAGGGCACTTGAAAACAAAAGTCACGGTGATGGAGACTTCATCTGATAATCAGGTCCAGTCAAGCCTTCACACCAGTAGCATTTGGGTTAAGACCTGATGGATGAGAAGGAGTTGGCAGACACAGGGCTATGAATTAGGGCAAGACATTTCAGGAGCTGAAGGAAGCTAGAGAGGGAGCCTGGAAAGTAAAACAGAGCAGGACAAGATGAAGAGGTGGCCAGGGCCCTGATGGTGTGGTTCCTCAGGAAGCCACGCCTGGAAGTTTGGCATTTATCCTGAATGCAATGGCAGTTCATTGAAGGGCTAATTTAAAGCAAGGGAGTAATAAGGTCTAGCTTATACTTCAGAAGGACTGCTGTGGCTGCT